CTATATTAAGTACTTTAATATTAGAGCTCATTTAAGCCCTGACAGCTACAAGGCAAACTTTCTGTAAATAACCTGTTATGAAACAGGATTCAGAGTGTATTTTTATAAACTATGTTTTTCTTTAACATCTTATTTATCATTGATGAAGTTTATCTGGGCTCTTTTTTGCTGCTAAATATAACTTTGTTAAGTATTCAGTATTTTACTTCACAAATGTGATTTACTTAAATGCATCTGCCCTTCCATCTGTTTGCATTAAAATTACTGCATGCAGGCTAGAATATTAACCAGGCCTTATTTAACGTTGATGCATATTCACACGGGACAGATTTTACGGTGCATAATAACCGGGTTTGATTCAGGGAATAAATTTACACAAACAAAAGCAAATTTAACTTTTAACAAAAAGAATTTCAAACCTGATTATAATGCTTTGGTCCCACGGGATTTAAATTTCTGACAATTGGAACAAATTGAACCAAAGTGCAGTCTGGGTGCTTCAGTATAATCATAAAATATGATGTTACTTATTTGTATATATCTGAGATTTAGTTATAATGCCTGTACACTGTTTTCAAATGATTATTTGGGGTATTTTAATTATACATTTTTGCCGTTTGTAATTAAAAAAAAAGTGTGATTTGACCTGAAAACACAATTAAAATGCAGGTTTTAATGAAAATTATAAGAAAAATGTGCTTTATGAAAGATGTCAGTTCATCAATTATCAAACATGTTCCTGCTTTAATAGCTGTGACACTGGTGTCAAGGATATTAAAGTTGATTCTTTGTGGAAGCAGAATGTTGTGAAATTTGTGTTTATGCAAACTACATTACTTTGCTGAAGCAAAYCTAATAATGAGACTTTAGGACTAGATAATTTTCACAACGCGAAGGAAAAATATTTTAATTTATTATTTGCTTGAATTATTCAAAAATAATTAGTGTTTTTCAGTTTGAAAACAGTATGTGTGTGTGTTAGTGACTGCGTGAAAGCCTATAATTCTTGAAGGAATGCATATTACCCGAGTTTTAATCCAAGAAAATCTGTGGTGAAAAATGACAAAYACTTTACATCAGCAGACCCCAATCCCCGGGCCGTGGCCAGGTACCGGTCCATGGGTCGTTTGGTACCGGGCCGCACAGAAAGAATAAATAGCTTACATTATTTTCGTGTTATTTATTATTTGAGTCTGAACAATGTTTTATTTTGAAAAACGGCCAGACTCTCTATGTTACGTTCATCTATGACTCACTCTTGTTGTGTCAAGACGCTTGTCTTGGTGAAACCAGACGTCTTTGGAAAGTTTCTTTACAAAGGGTAAAAGTCATTGGCACATGTCAGGAAGACACTGCTAATAAGGTTAAATACAAATACAAAGTGAGTGAATTGGCTTTTATTATTATACTTACGAAATACAAGTTCTTGTGTTGGTCGAAGGCTATCATTTTATTTTGTTGTATGCAACTGTCATAYCTGCCGGTCCGTGAAAATATGTCTGACAATAAATCGGTCCATGGTGCAAAAAAGGCTGGGGACCGCTGCTTTACATGGTAGTTTGATCAATCTCATGCAATATCATGAGCAAGGTCTCTGCAGATGTGTGTATGTGTTGAGAATGACACACACACACACACACACACACACACACACA